AGAAACAAGCTCCTGTGCGAGTGGAGAGCGACTGTGTTGACAAGGAAGGATTCGCCATGCAGTTCCGCGAGAAAAATTGCATCCCCGAGAAAAGCTTCTTTTCCAAAAACCAAAAACTGGTGTGCATGGCCACTTGGCAAGTTGATGGTGACGGGTTTGCTTTGCTGCGGAAGGAGCATGAGCGATCCTTTTATTGTATCCGAGTTGTATTTGACAATCTGGAGGTGAGTAGATCTGTTTAGTTGATTAATGATAAGTCATTAAGAAAGATGGATCTGTTTAGACTATAAGTGATTAGTGAAGGTAGATCTGTTTAACTGTTAAATGATAAATCATTAATAAATGGGGATCTGTTTTGTTGATTAAAAAAAAATAGATGATTAATTCGGATTGATCTGTTTAGTCGATAAATGATAAAATATTAATATAGGTGGATCTGTTTAGCTGATAAATGATAAATGACAAAAAAAAAAAAAAAAAAAAAAAAAAGGTGGATTTGTTTAGCTGGTAAATGAGAAGTGATTAATAAAGCTGGTTATGTTTAGTTTATAAATGGTTAGTTAGTCACATAAGTAGTTGTTTAGTTCATTAATAGTTTACTGAGTGATATAGGTGGTTCTGTTTAGTTGATAAATTGTGGCTTTATTCAGTTGATGAGTGGTAAGTGAATAATGGAGGTGGATTTGTTTAGCTGATAAATGGTGGCTTTATTCAGTTGATGAGTGGTAAGTCAACATTGTTGAGACAAGCGTGGATCCGCAACCACATATGTCCAGAGTGGTCAAAGGCAAATGGGGTCTACATTCCCAAAGAGCAGGACTCGAAGAGTCTTTCCCAATTCAGGCCCATCTCGCTGTTGAATGTTGAGGGTAAGATATTCTTCTCAGTCATGGCTCGCCGGCTCACACAGTATCTGATGACTAACAAGTACATAGATACGAGTGTTCAGAAGGGTGGTATTCCAGGCGTTCCTGGGTGCCTTGAACACGCGACCATGATCTGGGAGGCTATCCAGAGAGCCAAGCATGAGAGAACCAATTTGCACGTTATATGGTTGGACTTAGCCAACGCCTACGGGGCAGTCCCCCATAGGCTACTGTGGCGAGCCCTTCGCATGTTTCACGTACCGACACAGATCAGTCAAATGGTCGAGCAATATTTCTCCAAGTTCGCTTTGCGCTTCTCTACCTCGACGTTTACCACGAGGTGGAATGAGTTGCAGATTGGGATAGCTATGGGCTGTACGATCTCACCCATACTGTTTGTCATGGCAATGCAGATCATGTTGGACGGGGCGGCCGGCTACGGACTGGGCCTTCAAATAGGGGATCACTGGTTGCCGCCACTGCGCGCATTTATGGATGACACGACTATTATAACGGGCAGCGAGGAGTCTGCCCGCACGATCCTGAATAGATTGGACGCGGTGGTCCAATGGAGCGGTATGCAGTTCAAACCGCAGAAGTCGAGGAGTCTGTCAATCCATAAGGGCAAGGTTTCGGCGACCAGTTTTACGGTGGCAAGGAACAAGATCCCTACGGTTCTGGAGGAACCGGTGAAGAGCCTCGGTCGCGTCTACGATTCGAAGTTATCTGACAGAGCGGAAGTCCGGCGAATACATGAGTCACTGGCTACAGGCCTGCTCGCGATCGAGCGATGCAGGCTGATCGGAAAATTCAAGGTATGGTGTCTCCAATTCATGTTGATTCCGAAGCTTCTATGGCCACTGCTAGTCTACGAGGTGACGATGACTGCAGTGGAAACCATGGAAAAGAAAATCAACACAGCCTTAAGAAAGTGGATTGGCGCACCGCCTTGTCTGACCGACGTGGCTCTGTATTGTAAACAGGCTAAGCTGGTACTTCCGTTCAAGTCAATAACCGAAGAGTTTAAAGTCGGCAAAGTTAGGCTCGCCATGCTTTTGCGCGAGTCCTCAGACCCAAATGTCATCGCTGTCCAGCCCGCTCTAAAGACTGGCCAGAAGTGGAGAGTCCTCGATGCGATTGAATCTGCTCAGAACGCACTAAAATTGAAGGAGGTAATGGGTTACACACAAACCGACCGTCGAGGCCTAGGGCACGGGAAAGTCAATTGGTGGTCAAAGGCCTCAGCCAAAGAACGCCGAGACATGGTGATACAAACGGTGAGGGACAACGAAAACGAGGTTCGGGTTCAGAAAGCAGCCCAACAGTCGCAGCAGGGCCATTGGGTCAGCCTGGAGAGCGCATTGCCAAGAGTACTCACATGGGGTGAGATCTGGCGGATGACCCCGCTGCGACTGAGCTTTATCGTTCGTTCGGCGTACGATGTATTACCGTCCGGTGTTAACATGGTTAAATGGTCTGCGACCAACGATCCGACTTGCCCGTTGTGCAAATCAAAGCAAACTCTTGAGCACGTCCTGTCCGCGTGCAGGAAAGCTCTAGGTCAAGGCCGCTATACCTGGCGCCACAACAAGGTGCTAAAAGAGTTAGCAGCCGTTGTCGACCAGGCTAGAATGAGGGCTAACGCCAGAGCCAGTTCTAGTATCGTCCCCATTCGTTTCCTCAAGGCTGGGCAGGTTCCTAAAGGTAAGGTCAACCAAAACGCATTCGCTCCATCTGCGCTAGACTCTGCGAGGGACTGGTTACTGGCGGTTGATCTGCCAGGACATGAACGGTATCCCGAGTTGATCCGTAAAACCGGCCTGCGACCGGACATCGTTCTCCATTCTGCACAAAAACGGCAGCTCATTCTGATTGAGTTGACTGTCCCGTTTGAGTCGCGGATGGAGGAGAATCATTTGTACAAGCTCGAGAAGTACAGTGATTTAGCAGCCGGTTTGAGGAAAAACGAGGCTTACACAGTGCGGGTATTTGCCGTCGAAGTGGGAGCGAGAGGCCTCGTTTCCACTTCGCTCTACAATGTGGTAAAAGAGTTAGGATTGCGCGGTAATGAACGGAAACGGGCACTCAAAAAACTTGGTGAGGTGGCCGAAAGGGCATCCAGCTGGCTTTGGACGCAGCGCAACAACGTAGGGGACGGGCCTCGGTGAGCTGGTCCGGGTATCTAGTGGAAAAGAGTTTCTTATCCCTTTGAAAAGTCCATCGTGTACGAATTGTCTGCCAGTGTCTCTCTGCCAACTGCTAATAAAAGTCCAACATGTGTCCGGTAAACCAAAGTAAGCTTGTCGCTCGGTCGTCCAGGCATGCGGACTGTTCTAATTACGCTGTCGTGGCGACTTCTTATCTCACAGTACCTCCTTCGAAACCACCAAGTCGTCTTGTCTCTGGCCGAAAGTATAACACCATCCGGTAATCCCGTGCAGCGGGGAAGCAGCCCTGAGCTTCATGAACTCAGGTGGGCCCACCTCCGAATACGTTTAGGAATCGTGGGCCGAAACGTGTGTCGAAAGAGGATAATTTCTACTGATGACTGTAGATCCCCGCTGTACTTGCTCCCTGTGAGTTTATTCTTATTGGAGGTGGATTTGTTTAGCTGATAAACTTTGGAGGAGGAGCAGGAGGTGGAGGATAAATTTTAATGCGTAGTAAAGGTAGCTCTGTTTAGTTGATGCTTGGTAAAGTAAAGGACCCTTTTTCCACACCTTCAGAGTTATTGGGCATATAGGGCTAGACCTTTTGTGTGAACCGATCTACACTTGTTGGGTAATATGCTTAGCCTCTTGCCAGCCGCCTTTACTTCCCAGGACTTTAAATAGTACCCATTCAAGGCTGGACGACCTGGGAGCCAAGGAAATGTTTGAAAAAAAGTCCTGCTGTGTCAGGACTCGTACCCACGACTTTCAGATCCGCAGGCGTGAGACCAGCCACGGCGACTCGACTATTTATATGTATATAAAGATAATTTTATGAATTTGTTATGTAACAGAAACTCTGCGGAGGAGCTAAAACAACATGGGTCCTCTGATCAGCAAAATGTGACCTCCATCGTTGAATGGTTCGGTTACTTCATCTTCCCAACACTCTATGAAAGGAGCAGTCGAGCCAGCACGGATCGCCTTTACCGGCTTAAGGTCAGCTGTAAATTTTGACAATGGACGTAGTGCGGAAAGCAATGGCAAACGTACAAGTGCATATAAATATAACAAACAGTCTGAAAGTTCAGAAGTTGATTCTGCAACATCCTATAAAGAATATGCAGTCTAGCAGAGCTCAGTTATTCATCAGTTATTCATCAGTTATTCATCAGGGAAGCATTTCCATCTCTCGTGTAGCATGTCCTTTGAAGAACGTCGCTGTCATCACTGTCTGCCTGAAAAAAACTCGGTCTCTCGCCATCTCTCCCGCCTTGTGTACTTTCATATCCAGGGAGTCACTTACATCCCGTGCCTATCTTCGTGTTGTTCGACCCCTGCCCCTCCTTCCTGGTGCCATGCCTTTTGTTATATTTTTTTTTTAAATCCGCCATAGCGCTTGATATGACCGAAATATTTCAGATTCCGGGACAAGATTCTGTTTATTAGCCAATCTGCCTTGATGATGAAAATACGCCTAGCCAAATCAAAGGGAGACAAAACAAACTGGAAACACCAAGTAAGAAGAGGAAAGACATGCACAAGTAACAAAAAGGTGGAGGACGAGCGGTCTGAATCGGATGGAAGCATCAAGCCCAGAAACACTAGAATTTAGTCACGAAAGTGACGCAAATAACTCAGACCACAAATATAGGCGGCGACTGTTAGCAGCCTCGGCTAGCTAGCAGCAGTCTGAAAGTGGAAAACCCTTTTAATTTTTTTCTCAAAAGAAATTGGAAATTGGAGGATGTTCAATTCCCATATGTATTCATAAACATGCCGCCACTTTCAGGTAACTTCCATTGTGATGTACCTGGACTGGGAATGTTACCGACGCTTTGATCTGACTGGAGCCGGCATCAAGCTGAGCTACTCCACATCCTACGTAGTGTTTAAGAAAGTTGAGAAGCGAATCATCTCCGTCCCCTGCAGCGATGAGCTCACAACTTGCAGGTGCTGGTCTTGTTTGTTGTTTACCTGCCGGATCTGTGTTCGCGGGACATTATTGTTGCTTGTGTTAATTATTTTGCTAAGGATATTCTGTCTGTCTGTCTGCCTGCCTGCCTGCCTGCATGCCTGTCTCTCTGTCTGTCTGACTGTCTGCCAAGTATCAGGCCCTTTCAACATATGCAGGTAACGGGATCGACTGCCAGTAGAGTATCAGTTGATCATGTTTCCGTTAATCGCAATTCTAACTTCACAGCACAT